GTTTTTCTTCTGTGAGAGCATTTAACGGATTCTTTAACTTTTTATTTCTTTTACTCTATTCTAATTCTATTCCTAAATATAGTTTTTATGCGCTTAAATTAGAATAATATTGTATTATAATCATAACTTTAAGATGATTTAATTATTATATAGAATAAAATAATGATCTTACATTCTAAAATAAATATTATTTATAAAATATTGAAGGAGACGAGTGATCAAGATAAACTCTATAAAAACATTTTTAGTATGAACACTCCCATCTAAGAATATTCTTTTATAAATAATCTCATTATCTTAGACTTGAAGTATTTTTTTATTAGAAACCTTATATGTAAACAACAAAAGTCTATATAGTTAAGATTTAAAGAAGTTTGTCATTAGTTAGAAATGAAGAACATGTTTTGTAGTGTGGAAAGGATAACGTAATGGATGAGAATTCTTAAGAAATGAGTTTTGTTTGTATATATATTACATATGTTTGTGTTGGTGTTTTCTGGTTGGTACGTGTTTCTACTTTCTTCCTCTTATTCCTCATCTTAATTGAAAGGTCAAAATTCCACACTTGTTTCATCAACCCAATATTCTAATTATCTTTTACTTTCTAACAAAAAATATATATTTGTTTGGAAATTGAAGAAATATAGATATATTAATCTGTTGTTTAATATAATAAAAACTTGGAGTCCTAAAAACTGAGATTATTTTCACATAGATAATTATATTTTTAGTGTTTAGTTCAGAAGTCGATTCTTGAAGAATCAAATTCTAAATATGTTTTTAATATATTTTGACTTAATTTCTATAAATGTACACAAAAAACATGTTCATGTAAAAAAATTCACGAATTGGTAAGAAAACAGTGAAATAAAAAAGAAGATAGTGAAATATTAGAAAGCCTAATGCTAGTTTTGGAGATGCATCTTCGACTGTAATGAAAAGTGATGCAGAGAGAGAAAAAGCATAAAGATGTAAGATAAGGAATATTTTAAGTCATGAATATAACTTTTTTGTTAACATTTAAAAAAATATCAAATATAAAATATTATGTACCTCGAAATTTAAATAAAAACTATTGAAATGAAAAGGAGATTAAAAAATATATTAATGATACGATTTCAATACAACAATTTTATAGAACTGTTATTTTTTATTTATTTTTTTATAATATGACCGTCATTGAATCGTCGCAATATTAAGGACTTTTCAAATTTAAAAATAAATATGTTATGTAGCTATTGTGGTTAAAAACATTAAATCCCTGATCTTGGAAGCAAAAAATCTTTAAACTTCAAACTTATATATATCAAATAAGTGCAAGTATAAATCAAAGAGTATTGTCAAAGACTTTAATGATTTTAATGATAACATATAATACATATTTAGGTGTACTAACAAAGCTACTTAGTATGCAATAAATCACATAAGTCTTTGTTAAATGTAGTATTATATAAAATTTAAATGAATACTAAACATACAAAAATTAAACAATGTCTAAATAAGTTTAACAAAGCGTTAAACAAACAAGGATCAAACAAAGACTTCAAACAACCACTATAAAAAAAATAGATAAACAGTACTACAGTAGAAAAAAAAATCTTATATGAGAAGTCAAGACACAAAATCAAATCAAATTTCAGAATGTCAGGAACAAAGTTGGATTCATAATTTTCAAGGATGATTTCAGAATATTCAATACAATGTTGTCAAAAGCATAGAAAAATATGTAGAATAATAGTCCTTCCCTATTTACATTGATTGCAATAGAATGGTTTACAAATGTGTACACAATAGATAAAGAAATATACATAATCTATAACTAGGCTGGGCATAATTTAATAAACTGAACTAAACTAAAATTAACTGTATTATATTATACTTAATAAAACTGAACTGATTTTTACAAAAAACTAATTAACTTGTTTTATAGTTCAAGTTAAACAAACTGAACTTTAATAATTTTAGTGCAGTTAACTGGGATTAACTATGTGAGCTGTATGTCTTTCTCCATCAGGTTTTTTTGCTTTCATGGTCAAAGATTTTCTGCCGTCATCGCTGCCCTCTTCCTCCCTGCCAACACAACCAAGAAATTCCCCTTCGTGACACGTTTCCGAATCATGCGGTCGAAAATATCATGCAACCTGACGTATGAAACCGCCACATGTCCCTTGACGCCCTGCAAATCAAACGGCTTCAGCAAAGGAAAGTAGTCTCAGAGGTTAACCCTCCCTACGTCCTCCATGATCCTCCACACCAGCTCCTTAAACTCCACTGCACTCTCGAACTTCGGATCTACCAAATCCTCCTAAAACACCGTGTTCAATACCAGGTTCAGCATCGTCGCAAATGCCAGATTTCCAATTGGAACACCTTTTCCATTCGAACATTGCTTCCGAAGGTGCTCAACAAGTTATACGAGACTTTGTGTCATGTTTTCATCTGTAGGTTCCTGTGAAATCAGTTAGTGAATTTCAGGATTTGTACTCCACTGTATGTGTTTAGCTTGAAGGGAGCTTGAAATCAGTTAGTATATTATATTATGTCTCAACCAATTTTAAGTGCAGTGTACTTATGGAATAGTTTCTGCCTTTTTCTTTGTATTATGAAGGGAGCTTGAAACTCACTATTGTCCTCAAAACTGCAATCATGTTCCCTGGAATAGTTTCTGCCATTTTCTTTGTATTAAATGCTCTAATATGGGGACAAAAATGGTCTAAAGTAGTGCCATTTGGAACAATGTTTATTCACTGAATTGCACAATAAATAGTTAACTAAACTGTGAATTAAAAAACAGTTTATTGAACTGAACTACAGTGTAACTGAACTAAAAAATAGTTCAGTTCAGTTACTCTGAACCATATTTTAGTTCAGTGCAGTTTTCCTGAACTGGTTTATAATTAACTATAAACTTTCATAGTGCAGTGAACTGTGGTGCAGTTTGCCCACCCCTATCTATAACGGTTCTTTTTAGGGAGTTTATAAATAGAAACAAAGTCAAGCAAAAAAAATAGTTAATGGAATATATGTGATTTACATGCAAAAATATTGTTAGTAGACTTTATAGTGAATGTTTTATTTACAAGAAAGAGTTGTTGTTTTGACTATTACATTCTTAAATAGAAATAGTTTCACTCTGACTAAGAATTATAATTTTTTTTCCTAGTAATAAGTATTTGATCTAATAATTGGTATTAGATCCAAGGTCACCGGTTCATTTTCTAATCGGACAGTTGTTCAAGACAAATAGTTTCAATTTGCATCAATTATCTTGTGACATAAGCTATGTCATAATTGAAGAGTTTGATTCTTACTAGGACAAATTCCAATGAGGAGATTGTTGTAGTGTACATGAATGATCTCGTAGTGTATGTTGATGGGTTAAATTACAATTGAATTGTAGTGTTTGAGTTGTTATGTTGTTAAGTAGAAGGAGTTGCACCTTAACTTAATGTTATAACTTTTGGTCTAATGGTAAATGTTTGATCCAAAAAGATTCATTTTTTTTCATCTTGAACAATAATACTCACCATAACAAGTTCAGTTGAAATATCAATCGTAATTTCAATACTAATCTCATCAATGAATGATTTGTGCACTCATTCCCAATATAAAAAAAACTTCCTAATTAGAAAAGGAGCAACCATGACGATGAAAGTCCGTGAAAGTTATTCTAACACAACAAAGAAGTTAGATATAAATTAAAACAAACAATGTACCTAAACGATGTTCATTAGTGTGTTTGTTTTTTTATATGGATTTGGAGAAGTGGATTTGAGGAGGAAGTGAGGTGAATGTGTGATTATTTGGATTAAGGGAAAGATGGTGAAAAATGAAAGAATTTCCAATAAAATTTTATGAAAATTAGTTAGTAATGTAATGAATTTGATAGATTAAAAAAATATTTTAATTGATAAAAATAAAATATTATAATTTTTCCCTTTAAAGAATTAAAATAAAATAAAATTAGTGTTAATTAGGTTAAAATGAAATGTGAATTATTATCTAATATAAAAAATAAAAAATGATGAAATTATATTAAATTAAAATTGATTAAATTATTATTATTATTATTATCATCATCCACCAATTAAACAATGTCTGGATCTATTTATTAAGCATGTTGATTTGGGATGCATCTAGTTGCAGAAAATGTGTTGGAGCCATGCCTTGTAGAAGAAAATTGATTCTTCCTAATGGAGAAGAGAGGATAATCAATTCTCCTGCATTCAATTTTTCAAAATTAATGCATATAACATATAAGAATCCATTTTTCAAAATTAACTCATATGTGATAAATGAGAATATATTAAAGACAAAAAAAAAACTAAAATGAATAGAGTTGAAAGACTAAATGCAATCCTTCAAAGAAAAAAAAAGGGCAAAAATAATATACATAATATATAACATTGAAGTAAGTTATTTTAAATTTTAGCATAGTATGAAGTCATATAGACAAATTAATTACTTAGATTCAAAACTCTTTCCCCTTGATTAAAAGTATTCAAGTTACTTTCTATACAGATTCTTAAATCATGAGTTATGTACCTATCCTTATCCAATATATTCAAAACATAAATTGGATATTCTATAAATTAATTATTACTTACATTCTTGAATATTCTATAAATTAATCATTATTCACATTCAGTTGATAGTATATTATTTAGTAAAAACAAGACAATTATGTAGATATTTCTTGTCTATTTTCAATATAATTTAGGTTGACAAAAAAAATTATAGAGCACTCGCAATAAAAATACTCACTTCACTCATTCTTCGTTAAGAAACCTCTAGTCAGTCTTCTTAATGTCTACAGATAGAGATTAGCAATATATATATAAAATTTTCTATGAGAATTATAATTTTAAAAAAATTCAAATGCATCCCTTTTTGAAATAAACATTGATATAAACTTCAATACCAGTAAGAAATGTTGACCTTATTTATGTTTCTATCAATTTTACTGAACAGAAAGAACTAAAAATATCCATCACCAATCATGGTTGAAACTTGAAACTCCTTCAACTGCCTCCAGCAAGGTAAATAAACATGATCCATCCAAACATGGCTTCGGACAATCTAATCTCTCTAGAGTATCAAATACAAAAGAAATGCTCACCATAAAAATCTCACCTACCAAAGGCCAATATTTGATAAATCTGTTCAATTTACATTTTACCTGCATCATGCCACATCCTAACGTACCTACCACACAAAACCTAGAGTGTTTTTACAAAGCCAGAATGAAGCAATAGTGGGTTATCCAAGGCAGGTATTATTGATCTCTCACATACAATCGATCCCCCCACTGTCTAAGATATTGTCATTTCTGTAGTTTCAGGATGTCCTATCTGATGACGTTTGATCATTTTTATCAGAATTGAGATTGATATTGGATTGTGATTTGTCTGCTGATGCTACATCATTATGCTCGTTCTCTTCTTTCTTTGAATTCAGAAACCGACCACCACATCCTCTCGGTCTTCTCAGTGCGTGCATGTGTCGAGATTCATGCAAGTATGGCTGCAACATTTATTACAGGACAAGAGCAAGTAAGTACCTCTACATAGGAAGTCAGGTAAGAAGCTTACAACAATAGAACATTGGTGTCATTAGAACGAAATATATAGAAGCAGAGAATGATATACCTTCCTATTTCTTATAGCTTTATTTTCTGATTCAGCTTTAGCACGGGATTGTCTACGTCTCAATATACCGTGATATTGTTTTGCATTGACAAACACAGGCTCCTCAACTGCATCAGTTGGGAGAGGAACACCAGCTTGCTGAATTCCCATTAACTGAAGATGGACCTGGAACAGGACATGATTCAATAATTGGAGGATAAGAAAAGGATACAAGGAGACACCAGAATATTAACAGAATCAACATTAAAAGATTAGAGCAAACCATTGGCTGTCCACCATAGGCTTGTGGGGGATAAGGTTGAGTATCATAGGGAGCAAAGATGCTTCTATAATAAGGATCTGGATATGGATACACAGGTGGTACCTTCAATTATATAACAAAGTAAAATAAATCAGTAACACGTATAGAACATTTTCATTCTAAAATAAAATACCAAGAACAGTACTAGCGAAAACGGTGATTTGGGGCATACTTTAATATCATGTCCAAATAAAAAGTGACACCAGCATTCGCTTGGGAAATCATTCATTTACCTCAACAGCTATGACAAAAAAGATACGGTTTCTTTAAAATCAACCTTAATAACCCACACACAACCACTGAAGAAAACTAATGTGAAAGAAAAACTTCAGATTGAATAATTATTTGCTAGTCCAGAAGCCTTGAGTCTTCTGTAAACTAGAACAAGATCGATAAATCTATGGCATCCAGAAATCTTTTCACATAATTGCTGCTTTGAAATCGGCTTGTTGTAGCACATGGGGACTCACCTTAATGGATAAAACGTAATGTAAAAATACTAATTTATTCATGAATTAGAGGAAGAATAAACCTGGGCAAAATTTTCATCATGATTTGATAATATTCAGATTCAATTTGCTTCAATGACAAAACAACGGCAACGTGTGTCTATCTTATACTTACAACAGGCAAGACAAATTGGATGATATCTAATGGTTATGGCCCAAACAAAAAACAAATCATTCCTTAGTAACTCTGGAATTAATCAAATATTAGGATGAGATTCAATGAGGACTGATGGCGTCAAATAATTGAAGAAACGTGTCTCTTTTAAGACAATCAGAATGAAACCCAAAGAGAGACGAAGTTCATACCATTGCATGCCCAGCTCCAAGCTGGCCAGGTGTTGCATACTGTACATTGACATTCTGGGTTCTAATAGCGGAATCAGAAATTCCATTTGCAGACGGGGACTGCACTTGGGATTCTGACTGGTGCTGCCCTTCATCTTCATTATCTGCATAAACATTTTGTTGCATAAGTTCAGACAGTAAATATGTTCTCCGAATAGAGTGAAGGAACAAGTAAAATGCTTCAATTTAAGAAAAACATCAAAATTCCAATAGGATTAATAGCTAAGATGCTAAATCCAAAACAGAACAAAATATCTTAAAAACGAACCTAGTACAGTATTTTATAATGCATGTGAAACAATCAGAATGCAAAAAACATCTATCATAAATGGAACACAAACTCCAGATTTCAGTTGAGTCTGTAAATACAGAAGAAACAGAGATTGTCAAAAACATTAGTTGAAGTGAACTTTTCTACCCAAATTTGTCACCTGCTAAACATGTGACAACTTACAATTTAACTCTTTTCATCTCAAACTAATGCGCACTGTTTTGGTGGAGGACAATTTCCTCTGTGATGTAACGGGGATCTTGCTACAAACTCCTGCACACTAATTGCCTTTATAAATCTCTAAATAATTAGCTTGAATGTGGGAAAATTGAATATATCACTCAAGAAAACAGATAATTATAAACAAAGTTCAAAAGGAAATACAAAGGAGACCCGATACCAGGAAATGAATAAACCATAAATAAAAAAAGGTGAGTAATTACAATGCGTGGATGGATATGAATAATATTAATAGTTAACATAGTTTAAACCCCTTCACAATTCCCCACGCTACAGTGAGGCATAGTGAGGGAAAACATCAAACAGACATTTAGGCTTTGCTTGTTACGGGTATCAGTATTAGAGTATAGCACTACACATGAATAAATTCATAGTTCTTACAATTTACCATTTTCACATGATAAAATTTTAGAATCTAGAATGCACACTGGAGTTGCCGAGGGAAGGTTCTACTCTAATGAACAACAAAGCAATAATATTAACAGTTTAAATATGTTTTTAGCCTCTTAAATTGGAGTAGGTGTTTTTGACTTCCAAATTTAAAATTGATCATTTTATTATACCCTGCAATTTCAAAAATGTTTCTTTTAGTCCATCTGCCATAAATATCATTAAATATTAAATATATATAATTAACAAATTGCTAATGGCAAGCTGTTTTGATTTTGCATTCTTATCTCATCATTAAATACTTAAGAACATGTTTATTTTTCTTCCAAAGTACTCCTTTTGACAACATGTGTGCATAAGACAATTGGGCAAAGGGACTAAACAAGCTTTTTTCAAATTACAAGGACTAAAAAGATTAATTTTAAATTTGAAAGATAAAATTAACTCAAATTTGAGGAATTAAAAATATATTTAAGCCATTTATTAACATATTATGTAGGACAGAAAGGTAGCCAGTGCAGGAGTTAGTTAAAAACAAAGATAAAGTATTCGAGGATTATAGGACTTACTAAAATTTAAAGAATTTTAGAAGTTTCAAATTTTTTTAAAATAACAAAATGAGATACTATGAAAGCTAAAATAGGATATTTATAAATGCTTAACGATAGCATGAAACCATATGTAAAAACTAAAAATATAACAGCTAGGAAATGTTGATTGCAGTCCCTAGGCATGACATCAAAACAAAGATGCTTCTCAGAAAAACAGCACACCATAAATAGCAAAAGAAGAATATAGAAATAAGTCATATTATGCAGCTTCAGTGCAAGAGTGTGAATTCAATGACTTGTGTGATTAAAAGATAGGCAACCTCAAAAGACAGCGAGTTGTAGATCAGTGATACTGAGAGGTCAATATCATTTAATGCAAACTAATAATTTTAATAATTTTCAAGAGGTAATTAATAAAACAAAGGGTAACATCCAGTTTAGTTGCCTGTGTGAATTGTAGCCAAAGATTAAAAGTTACTAGACAGTAAGTAAGAAACATAAGTTTTTATGAAAAGATCCTAACTTTCTGTTTCTGAAAATTATCATTTTTTCTTTAAGAAAGGTATTCTTTTACCCTTTTTTGTTATTTTCACAAAAAGAATAAATCCATGACACAGCAATATTAAATGCAAATTTGCTGCACTCAAAACAGTAGCTATTCATCTTTCCCAATTTCAACTTAATGTTTAGTAGAAACTTCTCCATTAACAATTCCTTAGACAGAGATGAGCTATTGTTGTTGTAACGATTCCACTAGACACAAAAACACCAATTATATTGCTCCATATGTTGTTAACTAAACTTGGGACATGCAGTTAATCTACTCGTCATAAATAGGAAAGTTACAAATAATAAACTGCACCAAGTTCATGTAAAATACCAGTAAGGTTGTGAGCAGAGGTCATGTTTCGAGTAGGGCGTAACACTATCCAAACCTGGAACCGAAATTGTAGACAGAAGTTAGGAGTATTACAGCCACAAGCTACATAGATAAAACAGAGTAAAAGAAGCTGAAACGAAAACTAAAACAGCAACAGTATATACGATTTATAGCTCTTCAACTGAACTTACATATTGGATATACCATAAAGGCAGAACAAAGACAGACAAAAGCACATATCAGAGATGGATGTACTGTAGAGATCAGATCACAAATAAGCGACGATAAAAATAGTTTGCTACTATTTGTTACAGTTGTTCACTGGCCCTTGTAGCATGAGTAGAAGGAATAAAAATATAAAGAAAAATCAACCATGAAACATAAAATTTCAAATAAAGCGACAACAGAACATTTGAATAAGAGAATTTCCCCAAACCAACCGAACAAAGAATTCCAAAATTGCAAGCAAAACCGGGTAGAGCGAGAAAATAACAGTTGGGTTAGTTACAGAGCACCCACAAGCTCAAGATAAAAAATTGCAAACACAAACAACCCCAAGAGCATGTCAACCCCAACAAATTCACGCCTTTCTTGTGATTACACATTCGCTTGGAGTGATATCAGCGAAAATTGAAAAGCAAGAAACAGTAAAGGAAGAAAAGACAGAGAAAATAATAATTGTTGGGAGAATTAAATCGAAAAGCGGAAAACGAGAATTTGGTTGGTGATTGATTGAAGTGAATTGGAGGGAAGAAAATTAGGGTTTAGGAATTGGAAATTAACCTTGAAGAAGTTGAATTATTGTGGTCGAGAGAAAGTGGTTGCGGTGGTGTGAAGAAGAATGTGATGTGTTGCGTAGCGTTTGTGGGTACACAGCTACTACGCTGGACCCTCCCTATCCACACACCAAATCCTGCTGCATCTTTCTTTTGCTTCTATTTCCCCACAGATACTTCCTTTCTCTTTCCTTTTTCTTTCTCTTCTCTATGTGTGGTTGGATCTTCCCCAACAATATTCTTTTCAAACCTCTCAACTTTTTATTCTTATTATTATTATTATATAAAAAATTCATTTCATAATACAAAATATACCAATATGCAAATTTACGTTTTTTCTTTCGATAATAAACTATGTAATTTTTCTATTATTATTTTTGCCTTTTTAGGAACACAATTAGTAACATAAGATTCATAATAACTTCAATATTTTGGTCAAATAATTAAAGTAGACTTCATTTACTAGATTTATAGAACTCCGTTTAGTCCAAACTAACATTTAGATTATATTTTATCTGCTTTGACTTGACTTGATCAATTGAAAATTCACTCACCTGATTGATTTAGTCCATATCTTTTAGTTTATATAAATATATTTGTATATATTAAAAAAATATTTCAAATATTATTTAATTTATGCTAATAATGTTTTGAAGTTTAAAATTATAATCATAATTTTATATTTTATTTATTATTTTATATATTAGAACTTTGATATAAAAATAATCGAAATGTATATAAATATAGGTTTAATATATATATATAGGTTTAATACCCAATTTTGTCCCTAGTTTGGTTTGCAAATCTCAATTTAGTCCCTTTTTAGAAAAATGTTTGAAATTGGTTCTTACTTTTAAATTTTTGAGTTCAAATAGTCCCTTCCGTTAAGTATAACTAAACAGAGTTAATGGGTTAATGATGTGGCACTACTTATTGATTACGTGTCAAAAAATGTGCTTACGTGTTGGTTAATTAGGAAATAAATTAGGAAAGAAAGAATTTTATTCAAAAATAATTTTTTAATTGGGAAAGAAAGGATTTTATTTAGAATTAGGGAACAGTAACTAAGAGTCAAAATTTTATTGTGTGTGGTGAAGAATTGGCTCAACAATGAAAAACCCTCAAAATTGAAACTCACAATTTGGGGTAGGGATTGTTCCTCGCTAGGATCGATTTGCACGGTGGTGACACCGATTTCTCTGAGGCGGAACCCTAGCTTCTCCCCGACGCGAGAGGCCACTTTACCGTCCAGTAGCGCTGGGATCTGGGGAACCGGTTGAGCTGTGCATGGTAGTGAGCCGCGAATTCCTGCTCCGACGAGGAGGGCATGGCTATTATGGAGGAGGTGGTGGTGTTGGTGACTTGGGCGAAACCGGCCACCGCGCCTCTTCCACGCCACTGCTTCGTCAACTCCAGCCACCGTGCCACTGCTTCTCCGATCCCGTCTGCTCTCTCCGACACCGGCAACCCAGGGAGGGGTTCGTCTTCATCGCACGTCCAAACCTCCACTCGACTGGCAGCCGCGAGCCACCGGAGCCGTCGCCAGTCGAGGCAAAATCTCTCCTCCTTCGTCGCTCGTCGCACGCGGGAAGTTCTCTCCCTTCTCCGTCCATAGTCGCCGCCACTACAGAGGCGGAAACTGCCGCCACCGAGGCTGCCGCGATGGGCTCTCCTATTTCTCTTTCAAGGGTTCTTTCGTCTCCAGCATCACCACCGGACCGAAGCATTATTCCCTCTCTTTTTCTCATTTTTTTTATTTATTTACTGATTAATTTGGCATTGACTGATTCGATGTTTTACTGGGATTGAAAATGACGAGTGTGTGTTGTGTACATCTGAGTGTGAGGGGTGAATGCTGGATCTGTTCTGCCCTGTGTGTTGATTGGGTTATGTTTGTTGGGAGTGATTACGGTCGAAGAACAATCCGGTCGAAATGATTTTGCGGGCAACAATCTGGGCGAAAAAGAAGGTGTGATTGAAACGAAGGTGACGAAGACGAGACGAAGAAGAAGAGTAAGAGAGTGAGAATGAGTGTGAGTGAGGTGAAGGTGGGTGTGTGAGGGTGTACGGTAACGGCTGGGGATGCGGTTTTTTAGGAGCCAGGAACCTCGGGTTTTCGCCATTTCATATATAAATTTAGGTTTAATACCACGTAAGCAACGCACACAATTGTGTTTTGACACCTAAGCATTAATTACTGCCACATCATCATTCTATTAACTCCGTTAGCTTATATTTAACGGAAGGGACTAACTTGACTCAGAAATCTACAAGTAAGGATGCATTACAATTACTTTTCTAACGAGGGACTAAATTGAGATTTCCGAACCAAACTGGGGACAAAATTGGATATTAAACCATATATATATTATGTTTTTATTTGTTTAATGTAAAGTATTTAGTAATTCAACAATTTGATATGTGGCAAATGCAGATCTGAGACAGAAGGACAAAACTGTAGGTTTGTGTTTTTTTAAGATAGATTTGAAGAGAGTAAGTGGAAATTTGAGTAGACTTCAGGGAATGAATTTTAGAATTTTATTTCAAAGGATTTGAACATAAGTTGAGTAGATTTGATAACAAAGTTTATGAAAATTTGTGAGTAATTTGACTCAAATAGAAAAAAAAATATTTTAAAAATTTAAAATTTAAGATTATTATTTTATTTTTATAATTATTTGTTTAATAATAATAATATTATTATTTAATATAATATAATTATTTGTCTCTCTCTACTTTCTCATTCTTATTTTACCCTTAGTAAAATTTTACTTTTAGGGTTAATATTTTTTAACCTCTACCCACTCCAATCTTTTACATGTATGCAGCGACAACTCTTCTTCCTCTTTATCGTTCGTCCCTTCATTGTTTCATTGTGCTTTTCTTCCTCTTTCACGTTCTACTTCTTTCTCTCATTCTTTAATTGTGATAGATTTGTGGTGTGAGAGTGTGGTGAAGTTTCATTAGGTGATGTGCTTAATGGAAGATTGCAAGTGGTGATGGAAGGAATTGATCCAGCCGTGCCAAGATCGGTGTGTGGTGGTGGTGTGGTGGTGCTTGAAGGTGCAGGGGTGAAGGTGTAGAGATTCGTCGTGAAGGTGCGTAATAAACCCTAAAAAAAATAAACATGTAATCTTTAAATGGAGATGAGCATTCGTCAGCGGATGTCAACATCTTTTTAAGGGAAAACAGATGTCGATATTCGTTTTGCCTTAAACGGATGTTGACATCCGCTGATGGATGCTCACATCCGTTTAAAGATTACATGTTTATTTTTCAGTTTATTTTTATTAGATTATTTTTTATATATTAATTTTGGAGATATTTTAATAATGTAATTTATATGTTTTGATGTATTATTTTTTAATATATTTTTGATGTATTTTAATAATGTATTTTTGAAGATCTTTATTGTTATTAGTTTATATTTATATTTTCTATATTTTGCACGTTATGTGACATCCATTCATGGCATGTTATCTTCTTCCTCCGAACACACACACACAGAGAAAACAAAAAACACACGACAAAACACGAACCACCACAACATCAACCACATAACAAACACAATATATTCAATACATTTATAAAAAAAAATTTAAAAATATCATGCAAATGAAGCAAGAAACGAAGAAACGAAGATCCAAAAACTAATCTCTCGTAGACCCAAGACGCGAAGCACCACCGCCGAATGACCACCGCAAACTCCCCACACCGTCGTCCGGAAAGAGAGAAATGAGACTTAGAGAGTTGGGGGTGTGGCTATGTAAACGGATATGGAGGAGAGAAGTAAGAGATGGGAGACGAGAAGAAACAGATCTGGTGGAGTTGGGGGTGGGAATCTGAAAAGAGAGAATGAAAGTTGGGAGGTGGGACTGAGTGAAAAGTGAAAATGGATAAAAATATAGGGTTTGAGTTTAAAGTAAATAAATAAAGTTAAAAGTAAAAAAAAGTTTTTTTTTGTAATTAAAAAACTTTGCCAAAGGTTGAGGAGGTGAAGGGAGAAGGGGTGGTGGTGGAGGGAGCAACACCCTAAGAATTAAAGCAAATTAAATATATAATTTTTATCTTATTATAGGTGCATAGTTTGACTTTTAGAACCTCATATAAAATACTTTCGTCTTAACTAATCATCAGTTTATATTTCAATTGATCCGATAAGGAAATTTAACTTAAGGTTTAAACTCTCGGATCGTCCTCATATTTGTTGGGGAATCTCAGTGGGTATTCGTTTTTTAAATTGTCAAAATTTGGTCCATATATTTGTAAAATTGAGCCAATTTTGTCCTCTCCTTTAAGTTTTGATAGACGGCGTTGAAAGGTGCTGAGTTGTATTTTTTATTAAATGGTGTGACATTGTGTATTAAATTAAATGGGTTATGGGTTATTGAATAACCATTCCACGTAGAAAAGTAAATTTTTCCACACTGCTTCTTCCTCAACTATACACTAACCCGACGAGCCACTGGACTTTGTTGTTTGCCGGGAGGAGCACTGGATGCGCGTTGGTGTTGGTGACCGCAAAGTTCATGGATCGGACTCTAGGTAGGTTCGACATGGCAAATCCTTCACTAAAAAACCCTTCTTCTCGAACTCACTCTCAAGTCAATGCGAATTCGAAATTCAAATTTTAAACCTTCTCAAACAAAATAAAAAAAAAGTTATTGTTTTTCGTGAGTAAAATCTTGGGATTTTGAAATTTGAGTAGTAGGCTTACCAGTTTCGAAGATTGGTGATGATTTTTCATAGGTGGCTCTTGAGATGCGAAGTGGTGGTGTTGATTTGAAGTTTGCGATTTTGGATTTTAGGTTTATTTTTGCAGTTCGATTTGCGGCTAAAGCTCCCGCGATCGACCACGTTTCAAGGATTTTCCTTTTGTCTAGTTCTTAATTTCTTATTTGCAGCTTGGATCAGTGAAGAAGGTGTAAAGGTTTTTTCAGCCCTTCCATTTCGGTGGATCCTCTCATCAAGATGCCAATCCACAGATCCTCCTCAAAAAAAAAAGGCTTTTTCACATTGCAGTCATTGCCCCTGACTCTGTCTACAACATGTGGCAGTGTAGAGTGATGTACTTTTGGTACAACAAATTCAAGCATGGACCCCAATTTGGGATGAGAGGCTTCACTCGGATCCTTCATTCTAGGAAGCCTGACCAGTTCATGGATGAGATCCCCACCTTTGTTGCTCAGCCTTTACCTGATGGGATGGATCAGGTTTTGCTTTT